GGAATGACAGATAGCAAGTGTTTGATGTTGTGTATTGTGTTACATTGAATGACAGATAGCGAATGTTTGATGTTGTGTATTGTGTTATGTGGAATGACAGATAGCGAGTGTTTGATGTTGTGTATTGTGTTATGTGGAATGACAGATAGCGAGTGTTTGATGTTGTGTATTGTGTTACATTGAATGACAGATAGCGAATGTTTGATGTTGTGTATTGTGTTATGTGGAATGACAGATAGCGAGTGTTTGATGTTGTGTATTGTGTTACATTGAATGACAGATAGCAAGTGTTTGATGTTGTGTATTGTGTTACATGGAATGACAGATAGCGAGTGTTTGATGTTGTGTATTGTGTTATATGGAATGACAGATAGCGAGTGTTTGATGTTGTGTATTGTGTTACATGGAATGACAGATAGCGAGTGTTTGATGTTGTGTATTGTGCTACATGGAATGACAGATAGCGAGTGTTTGATGTTGTGTATTGTGTTATATGGAATGACAGATAGCGAGTGTTTGATGTTGTGTATTGTGCTACATGGAATGACAGATAGCGAGTGTCTGATGTTGTGTATTGTGTTACATGGAATGACAGATAGCGAGTGTTTAATGTTGTGTATTGTGTTACATTGAATGCTACTGAGGGACCCTGCGCTGATAACCTCAAATCATATCAAGATTAGATTGATGATTGACTCACATAGATCGACAGACTTGATCTTAAGACATTAAAACTATTTATTTTTCAACACAATCCCCTTCCACATTGAGAAGTTGAAGGGATCTCATTCCAGTTTCTTGTAAGTCCTTCTCTAGACTTCATAAAGTGGAAACAGGACAAGATGGAAGCCGGACGCAGCCAGATCAGGAGAAAAAGATGGGTGCTGTTTGGCAATTTTGTTATGTTATTACTTTTGTTGTTATTGTTGTCATTACATGTACATACATGCATGCATGCATGCATGCATGCATGCATGCATGCATGCATGCATGCATGCATACATACATACATACATACATACATACATACATACATACATACATACATACATACATACATACATACATACATACATACATACATACATACATACATACATACATACATACATACATACATACATACATACATACATACATACATACATACATACATACATACATACATACATACATACATACATACATATACTCAATAACAAAGGTTCCTGTGACACCAATATTTGAGTGTTTTTTTCAAACAAGTACAGTTTGGTTTTCTATATTGTAGTACATGTATGGAATCAAGTCACAAAAACGCAACTGCTACAAAAAAGTTGACCTTTATGCAAGCCCCATGCACTACCCAAGAATGGGTATAAAATCTTGTGCGTTAACGGGATTCCATATACGTTGTTTAGCATCGTGCTGACAACAACCACTCAGAGAAACATAAAAAATTACGCAATTATTCAACATTACGAAATGCCACGCCTGTCCGAATATGAGCGTCTACGAGCCATTGGTTTGCAGGATGGAGTCAACGTGATGTTGAAAAACAATTTAACGTCCACAGAGACACCATTTTGTGTTCATGGCAACGTTGGCAACAGACGAATGCATTTAGAGACCATCCTCGGAGTGGCAGGCCACGCGTAACCAATAATCGACAAGACAACTGGATTCGAACAACACACCTACGAAATCGATTCCAGCCAGCAACAGTGACTGCAAGAAGCATCCCTGGCCTTCGACGAATATCTTCGCAAACCGTACATCGTCGCCCCAGATGTGCAGGGATTGTCGTCAGGACCCTAGACGTCCCATTTTGACAGGAAACTACCGTCAAGCACGTCTACAGTAGTGCAGACAGTGTCTACGCTGGGCGGCCATGCAGTGGGGACAAGTTCTAATCACTGACTTGTCAACTAGTAAGAAAGTTGACATCCATGAATTCTCTTCCTTATGTGTAGCACTTCTAATTGCCTTTCAAAGACTCGAGTGTTGAAGGAGTTCAAAGACACACTCGTAAATTGTTGCTATGACAACGACTAATTGGTCATTATCTTGACTGAAGAGCACACCTTTTCTCAGGTTTCCACGTCACTTCTTCTAATGTCATCCCGTAACGGTATCACGTGCATCAAAATATGCTCATTTTATTTTCTGGCCTGTTGGAAGATAGTCAACCATGATTGCACCTGGGCATCCCAGAACACGGAGGCCAGACCTTTCCAACTGATGGGACAGTGTCTGCCTCAGTTGGTGGTGGCGATGTCAAACACTTCCACCGTTCTGATGTTGTTTGGATTGATGACTCTGGATGAGCGCGAACACCACTCTGCAAGTACTTGAGCTCTGCACGTTCCTCAAGTTTGGCCACTTTCCAGAAGTCACAGAACCCTGCTTATTTTGCTGATTTGCGAACAACATTATTCAGATGACAAACATATTTGTTTGGAGGATATTCTTCTCTGACATCATGTCAAGTCCGTAACAAAATAATGCTCTATAAGTAGACTCTTGGATGTCCTAGTCTTTAGGAGTCCACATACAATCGTGTAACGGAGTCCTAAGAACATGACATCCGTTGTCTTTCAGAGTTTAAGTCAACAATAGAATCGCTGACCCTAAGAAGAAGGAATAGGTTTACTTGTAGTCGCCACCACGTATCATGCAGCTACCTACCTGTTGCCTTTGTGTTTACACATGTACGATATGTTCCTGTGTTTTTCAGATGGACAATTGATTTTCCTTTGCATGTTTTTGTGACGGTGACACTGGTGGGGCAGGATGCGCTCATCTTTTCACGAACACTTGGTAACATTACTATTTGACAGTGATTTATAAACGCATGCTAATGACATAGTCGGAATCGTATAATCGACTCAGTTTAAGCAGAGATTTCTATTGAATAATGAAAGGATTTGTCGGTTTTATTCTTTTGTGTTGACAATAACAACCTTTATTCCTTTATTCAAATGTGGACCAACATATCGTGAGCAGCCTGCTACCAACTGGGATCACAACTGTATAATCATATAATGGAATTCGTCGAAGCATATACCAACACATGGGCCACGAGAGAAGCCAACACTGTTGAAAGTACGTTATGTTGTCAATGGTAGAATGCACAATCTGAAAAAGGAGGAAATAGAACTGGAATAAACCCATTCTGTCCCAGCCAGCTGTCATCCAAGATCTAAGCTTCAGCAACCCATGCTTGCCGTAAAACGCGACTATTCTTGTCGTAAGAGACGATTAACGGGATCGGGTGGTCAGGCTCGCTGACTTAGTTGGTGCATATCATCGTATGCCAATTGCGCAGATCGATCTTCATGACACCAGTCACCCGATTGTCTGGTCCAGACTCGATTATTTACAGACCGCCGTCATATAGCTGGAATATTGCTGAGTGTCTCGTGAAACAACAAACCAACCAAGCAAACTCTAAGCCCAACAAAAGTGTGTAGTTGTTCTCTGTGACAAGTATACCAGTGTAAAATACACTCAATATTGTTCCAATATGTTATGCAAATATTAGCGTTTTCTGATATAATTATTAGCTAAATATAAATGGAATTAAAATATTCATAAAGGTTTCATTACCTACAACATATCAACAAGCAATTAAATCTTGTAGACGTTCACGTGTCACACTGAACACTGACAGCTACATAGCAGGCTACAGTGATGTAAGATGGACGTATCCATCAAACCCATCGCGCTCAGTGAATTCTATTGTCCAGAGGCCGCAGTCGCACCGGCGTAGAAGTTATTATTATGTAATAATACAGCATCACTACCTCGTGACGTATCGTCCGTCGGTCAAGAACTAGATGAAGACAATGCACAATTCATTGACTAGGGAATCACTCGAAGTCAAAATGTACGAGGCGATTACTACAAAAGTCAAGCATCTCCACTGGTCAGTACATAACACCACTGACAGTAAACTGCTTGACTGTAATCGTTCCTCTTCTTCTTATTAAGGTAAGAAACATTTTATTATTTGATACATTTGGTCCTATATTATATATATGTGTGTGATATATTCTAGATAGTCTGTGTTTCTATAGATGGTTAACTCTAACAAGCTAATGTAAGATTGGGGAGACATATTTGCACTGTGCATGTGCACGGGTCCCTTGTATGTGTAAATAATGAAGCGTTCATTATTACCTATGTACGTATGAAAGATCATACACAATAACGTGTCTGTTTTAGATATTTGTTTACCAGAACTTGTATGTATTATGAATAGATGTTTACTATACTTTGTATGTTTTATGAAATGTGTTTAGCACCACATGTGTCCGTAAATGAGCAGTAATTACCTATTAATTGAATATGATTTTCCATTATCAATATCCGAATATACATGATATCAGAATACAATATGTATCAAATAAGTGTCATGAAAGTAACGTTAATCGGGCGGTATGTTGAAGGATAAAGACACAGACAGTTAGTCTGTATATCTAATGTTCGGCCGTTACAGAATCTGTTACTCTATCATATTTTGATACACACGATGACAAAGCATTGATGAACTTAGAAATCAAATCTAACATCGTGATAAGTCTACTCCGTGCAAATGATACTATTATGATTATCAATATCGTTCAAATCCTACATCTACATGTTTTATTATACTTGGTTTGAGGTTATTGTTATTATCGTTTATCGCGTATATGTCTATCTACATTTAGTAAATAGCGCGTCTCACTTCAGACGTAAAAAGCCAAGCGTATTTATAATGACGTTACTTACAAATGCAGTCACAGGTCATAATGTTGGTGTCATGATGTAATGCTCTCTCTAGACATGAAAGTGTGCTTAGCTCTACCTATAGCTATATCCCCTAGCTTTCCAGCTTTCCCCCTCAAGTATTATAACCGTTGCTTATTCGATTGTTCTATCATTATTCTATATGTTTCATGTATTCATACTGTTATCATTCTATGTACCATGTATTGCTATTATGTCTCTTGTATTCTGTATTATAAAACACAACACCACTGACAGTAAACTGCTTGACTGTAATCGTTCCTCTTCTTCTTATTAAGGTATAATCAAGTTCCCAAACTCGGGACAAAACCTTGATTATACAAGGCCTCAACATAACCATGTTGTTTGATCAAGGAACTTGGAACAGGGCACATATCAAATAATGCCACATGCAGGCCCCGTGTCTTTACTGAGGAAGACATTTGCCAAAACATTTCCGTACTATCACCTTTTGACTTGACTCTAAAACCTGAAGACATGTCTTTTGTCCTGAATTCCAAAGCTAAAAGATGACAAAGGGGAGAAACATAATACAAAATATACCACCAAAACCCCGTCTAAAAGATCAATTACAATCCTTAATACTATCAAAGGAGGACTTTATATTCACAGATATTATTTGAAACAAATGGAATTGATACCATGTCGATGCTTGAAGTTTTGCAATATCAAAAAGAACCAAGATTAATTCTGTCAAAACGTTTGATTTTTCAACTTTGTACACCACTATCCTTCATATCAGCTTTAGGAAAAACGTCATTTCGCGATCCATGTTACATTTGTTTGTGACCATGGAGACCACAGACATAGTAACAGCTCTATCCTCAGAGGTGAAGTTGTCAAACAGGGAAGCACATGTTTACTTCCTCAGAGAAAATATCTGTGTGAAATGTGGGGATAAGGCAATGCGTTAAGTAGTGGGCATCCCCATGGGCACCAACCGTGCTCCTCTTCTGACTGATCTGCTTCTTCACGTATACAGGTCGGATTTATTTCTCCGATTGGCAAAGTCAAAACAAGGGAAATTTGACCTCTGGATGAAGATTCAGGGTATATACCAAAAGATCTCCAGAAGACTGCACGACAAGAGGGGTGATTTCAACCTGTCAACAATCAACTTACTTTTATGTCGACCAATATTCCAGGAGTTCTAGCCTTTAACGCCTACGTTTGGCGCACCCATCATGTCCTCCTCCACGTCCGCGACTCAGTTAACAGTATGTTGGGACAGGTTTTATAACCGAGCACATCGTCAATACCATCTTCCCTAAATTACTTTGGACAAAACTACAACCCTGATGTATAGAAGACACGGTTAAAGAGGAAGGTACGTTGCCTGCTTGCGGGTCAAGTTGTGTCCCACTTCAGCAGCCCATGCTTGCCGTAAAAGGCGAATATGCTTGTCGTTAGAGGCGACTAACGACAACGGATGGTCATGCTCGCTGATTTGGTTGATGCATGTCATCGTATCCCAGTTTGCGTGGATCGATGCTCATGATGTCAACCACTTGTTTTTCTGGTCAAGACTCAGTGTTTCACAGACCGTCGTCATTAAAGTGCTAAACGACTTAAACTTTGGGCTTTCCTCTCACATAAAGCTGACACGCTGTGATATGACTGGAATACTGTTGAAAGCGACGTTAAACCCAACTCACTTTCTCTTATGCTTCCTCAGATCGTAGGCAGCAATAGCGGAATCTAGATACACCGCGTGCGTCGACACAACGTCATGCATAAAATACAAGCCACAGTTACAACTCACAACTTCATATCATGTATATGAAATAGTAACAAAACAAGTAAGTATTGATTATATTTGATCAATGTTTGTTGCAGGAATTGTTCTCGACGCCACGTAGCATCTTAAATTAAAATTTCAGATTTCAGATTTTTAATCCTTGAATTATTCAAACGCATCATGCTCATCACAGATGTGTGCAAAGATCAGTGACGGTAGCGGCACAAACAGGAAACAGATCTGTTTGACAACTTTGATGAAGAGCGTTTTTTTTAAAATAGCACCAAATGGATGTGGTTAATTTTCAAAGTAATCCATGTTTTGTGCGCCTCAGTAGTGATACGTTTTTACCTGGGGGTAGCTGATTGTGTTACTGCACGTGTATCTGATTGTGTCACTGCACATGTACCTGATTGTGTCATTGCACGTGTATCTGATTGTGTCATTCCACGTGTATCTGATGTGTCATTGCACGTGTATCTGATGGTGTCATTGCACATGTATGCACCTGATTGTGTCATTGCACGTGTATCTGATTGTGTCATTGCACATGTATCTGATTGTGTCATTGCACATGTATGCATCTGATTGTGTCATTGCACATGTATGCACCTGATTGTGTCATTGCACGTGTATCTGATTGTGTCATTGCACATGTATGCATCTGATTGTGTCATTGCACGTGTATCTGATTGTGTCATTGCACGTGTATCTGATTGTGTCATTGCACGTGTATCTGATTGTGTCATTGCACGTGTATCTGATTGTGTCGCTGCACGTGTATCTGATTGTGTCACTGCACACATATGCATCTGATTGTGTCATTGCACATGTATGTATCTGATTGTGTCATTGCACGTGTATCTGATGTGTCATTGCACGTCCAGCTGCAATAGTCTGACTGCCCGCGTGAAGGCTGGCGTCGTGTTCTCAGCCAGCAGATGACGGATGCTTCCGATATTCCGATTATAGCATGTTTTGCACATTTCGGCTAGTTGCCTCTCAACTGATAGGTCTGACTGCAAGTACTAACCTAGATTTTGTTTGGTAATGACATGTAAATCTATAACGTCAACGCCAGTCAATAACCAGTCTCGATGTCCCACGAAATAGATTCCACTGGGCGTAAAAGACAAAATAACGCTGAAACCTGTATGAATGAATAACTGAAAACCATCGATGACACCAGGTGTTGGGGAAGGGGGAGCATGTCCTGCCCTGTCGGTGACACCAGGTGTTGGGGAAGGGGAGCATGTCTTGCCCTGTCGATGACACCAGGTGTTGGGGAAGGAGAAGCATGTCCTGCCCTGTCGATGACACCAGGTGTTGGGGAAGGGGGAGCATGTCCTGCCCTGTCGGTGACACCAGGTGTTGGGGAAGGGGAGCATGTCTTGCCCTGTCGATGACACCAGGTGTTGGGGAAGGGGAAGCATGTCCTGCCCTGTCGGTGACACCAGGTGTTGGGGAAGGGGGAAGCATGTCTTGCCCTGTCGATGACACCAGGTGTTGGGGAAGGGGAAGCATGTCCTGCCCTGTCGATGACACCAGGTGTTGGGGAAGGGGAAGCATGTCCTGCCCTGTCGATGACACCAGGTGTTGGGGAAGGGGAAGCATGTCCTGCCTTGTCGGTTGCACCAGCTGTATCCGCTCACCACAGAGTTGATACTAAATACAATGCTATGTACGTAAAGAGTGGATACTACATGTGTATCCAATTCTAACAATGTGAAAAAGCGTTGATACTACATGGCCATGCTTTGTTACCCATATCATCTAATGATAAATTTGTAAACGACAATGTCTGAATAAGCATATATATATATGCAATGATTTCTCTCTCGCTTTGTTCTGTAAAATGTACACATCGTAATGAATCATGCCCAGAAATATCGGAGATATTGTCATCCAAGCAAGAACGTGTATCCAATCGTCTTCTCGGTAATGCACATGTTTGAAGTAGATACACTGTCTGCTGGTGTGAAAGGGGGACTTCACATTCAGAACACGTTACATAACTGGGACAGATAAGGCTGAGGTGGCCAATACATCACCAAGTCCCATGGCGGGCGGCGAAATCTCCCAACTGATGGTGTCATATAAATAACTGTTATCCATATGGTTTATGATAAGCGAGTTAATAAAAGCAAGTTTGTTTGTTTGTATACGGGGCCATGAGACACGCATTACACAGATCAGAACGTCTAAAATCTGTATCATTTCAGACATCGGTTTCAATCAACAACACCTCGTGCCCATGGAATCAAGAAGCCTGGAGAAGGTTCTGGCCTAACCGTCTGCTCAGCTCATCCACAGACGCTCAGTTGGAGTCGAGATTCGGTGACCTTGACGACCACGGTGTACGTGTATGTTCTGAGCTCTCAAGAATCAGCACAGACGCAATTGATGATGTAATCGACACCACTGCCACCGCTGCAACGATAACGTTGGCGTAATTAAAATGTATGACCCCCTTGCTCGGATTTCGGCATCTTGCTATGAGATACGGGACGTAAACAAGAATAGTTTACTTTGCAGTCAGTCCTGGTGAGGCGGAGTCTATGACGATCTGGTGTGGTGCCGTACGTATTGCCCGCGTCGTGCCCAAAGTTGGGAATTGCACTCTGGGCAAGGCTGAGGTGCACTGCCACTGATGACTGATTGCCCAGCTTCAACTCAACAACGTTATTTCTCGCATGATTATTGAGTCTTGGCAAGACGATTCGCAAACTTCACTTCGTTAAGTGAATGATTTGTTAAAACGACATGATTGTGTATTGAACGTTCTCTTTACGTTTCTAAGAATTCGAATCATGCAAATATCAAAGGTCATGGATATTGTGTCTATCAAAGGCAATAAACCGTTTTGTGACACTTTGTCGATAACAAAGAACATGTAGATTAATTATAAGGCTGTACTTTACCATCTCCTTTTAAAAATATTGCTACCCCCTATGCTGTTCTATGAGAGTATAGTGTCACGTTTAACTGTACAAACGCCTACCACCACCAGGTGACAATTGTGCTTCATATCAATTGATGTAAATATTATATTATTAAAAAAGCAATAATTATTGTATAATATTTTGGCATTCATCTGCTCATAACAAGAGGGGTTGTGTAACAACTCAATTAACATTCAATTTGTTGTGCTCTCTCAACCGGTTACGTACAGTTCTGCCAGAAATTGTTCTCAACCCTGGAAATGTCAGAGCTGAAAGTGTGGCAGTTTGGTATTCAATCCATAGATGCACCAACCGAATATGGTTGTCTTGTTGACTTGACGTCACAAGTGGACGGCCGGTTCGTGGAAAGTCATGAGTGTTGTCCTGCTGTAGATAACGTATCCAAAAAGATTATATTGTGTTTCGATGAACATTAAAATGTCTCGCTCCTTCTTCGTGTGCTGTTCCTGTTTTCACGGAGCGTAAATTTAGAACCTTATTTTCAACAAGCCATGGCACTGCGAAAGCGTTATGTAAAACAAGGTCACTTTCCAAAACAAGGTGTTTGAGTATCATGTGAGTATCATGTGAGTATCGCGTGAGTATCAGGTGTGTATCATGTGAGTATCATGTATGTATCATGTGAGTATCATGTAAGTATCATGTATCAGGTGTGTATCATGTGAGTATCAGGTGGGTATCAGGTGTGAAGCATGTGAGTATCATGTGTGTATCATATGAGTATCATGTGAGTATCATGTGAGTATCAGGTGTGTATCATGTGAGTATCATGTGAGTATCGTGTGAGTATCAGGTGTGTATCATGTGAGTATCATGTGTGTATCATGTGAGTATCATGTAAGTATCATGTAGCAGGTGTGTATCATGTGAGTATCATGTGAGTATCATGTGAGTATCATGTAAGTATCATGTAGCAGGTGTGTATCATGTGAGTATCATGTGTGTATCATGTGAGTATCATGTAAGTATCATGTAGCAGGTGTGTATCATGTGTGTATCATGTGAGTATCATGTGAGTATCATGTGAGTATCATGTGAGTATCATGTGTGTATCATGTGAGTATCATGTAAGTATCATGTAGCAGGTGTGTATCATGTGAGTATCATGTGAGTATCAGGTGTGTATCATGTGAGTATCATGTGAGTATCGTGTGAGTATCAGGTGTGTATCATGTGAGTATCATGTGTGTATCATGTGAGTATCATGTAAGTATCATGTAGCAGGTGTGTATCATGTGAGTATCATGTGAGTATCAGGTGTGAAGCATGTGAGTATCATGTAAGTATCATGTAGCAGGTGTGTATCATGTGAGTATCATGTAAGTATCATGTAAGTATCATGTAGCAGGTGTGTATCATGTGTGTATCATGTGAGTATCGTGTGAGTATCAGGTGTGTATCATGTGAGTATCATGTGTGTATCATGTGAGTATCATGTAAGTATCATGTAGCAGGTGTGTATCATGTGTGTATCATGTGAGTATCATGTGAGTATCATGTGAGTATCATGTGAGTATCATGTGTGTATCATGTGAGTATCATGTAAGTATCATGTAGCAGGTGTGTATCATGTGAGTATCAGGTGTGTATCATGTGAGTATCATGTGAGTATCGTGTGAGTATCAGGTGTGTATCATGTGAGTATCATGTGTGTATCATGTGAGTATCATGTAAGTATCATGTAGCAGGTGTGTATCATGTGAGTATCATGTGAGTATCAGGTGTGTATCATGTGAGTATCATGTGAGTATCGTGTGAGTATCAGGTGTGTATCATGTGAGTATCATGTGTGTATCATGTGAGTATCATGTAAGTATCATGTAGCAGGTGTGTATCATGTGTGTATCATGTGAGTGTCATGTGAGTATCATGTGAGTATCAGGTGTGTATCATGTGAGTATCATGTAAGTATCATGTAAGTATGTGAGTATCAGGTGTGAATCATGTGAGTATCAGGTGAGTATCAGGTGAGTATCACTAAAGTATCATGCTCTCAACAAACAAACAATCATCTCAATTGTGCGCCGTGCATGAACAAGCGAATGCAAATTATGAACCACGACTCTAAAGTCGAGGAGATGTCTTCATGATTATGTATATGATAATTGAATTTCAGAATATGTATTTTTAACTAAACTTTATATGAAGCACAGTTACTGTTTGCCGTAAGTATATATTGATGGCTAGAATGGAAGGACCATTAACACGAGTTACTAACACCATCTGGGCAACATACACTGTAGATGCTTTTAGAGAATTCCTCTGAGAAAGGTCTAACTATTGATCAGAGCGAAACATCGTGTATGCAAAACTATAACAGAAACTAAAGCTGGGGCGGGGGGGGGGGGGGGGGGGGGGGGGGGGCGCTGGCGATTGGTCCAATGTCCAATGATTGGAACAGTCAGTTAATTGAAAAATGCGTCATACAAATTCAAATATTAATTTAATTCAATTCGATTTAATTTTTAATTCTCAAAGCTTATGAATAACTAGGAATGTGGTTTCGACTCGTTTTCAGGAAGAAATTATGGAAATTGTGTACAAAGGTTTAAAAACCGAAAGCAGTGAACTTTGCTTGAAGGAACGTTTTGCATTTCAATCAGTGCCTTAACTTTAAGTTTGAAAGGGAGCACGGGTGGCCCAGTCGTCTAAGGCGCCACGATTTGCTGTGTTGCGTCCCTTGGGCACGCCAAAAGTCTATGGTTGAGGGTTCGAATCTCGGTTCGCCCCGATTATGGCAAAATACCGGAGAAAATAATAAGGTCAACTGTATCCAGGGTAAACATGTCGAGGATGTTTCCAAAGTTGACGCATCGGTGAACACAATTCTGTCGTGCAATTCCCTATTTTCACGTCTACCACAACGTACCCGTGTCTATTCACGGTCGCATTTGGCAAGTGTTTGTCACGTTAGAGCAGGTGTGGTGGGTGTGGTGGGTGTGGCCGGTGTGGCCGGTGTGGCCGGTGTGGTGGGTGTGGTGGGTGTGGTGGTTGTGGTGGGTGTACCTGGTGTGGCCGGTATGAAGGTGTGGCCGGTGTGGTGGGTGTGGCCGGTGTGGCCGGTGTGGCCGGTGTGGTGGGTGTGGCCGGTGTGGCCGGTGTGGTGGGTGTGGTGGGTGTGGCCGGTGTGGCCGGTGTGGTGGGTGTGGCCGGTGTGGCCGGTGTGGTGGGTGTGGTTGGTGTGGCCGGTGTGGCCGGTGTGGTGGGTGTGGCCGGTGTGGCCGGTGTGGCCGGTGTGGCCGGTGTGGCCGGTGTGGTGGGACAGTGTGGACAGTGCGGACAGTGTGGACAGCGCGCACAGTGCGGACAGTGCGGACAGTGTGGACAGTGCGGACAGTGCGGTTTGTCACGTTAGAGCAGGTGTGTTGGGTGTGGTGGGTGTACCTGGTGTGGCCGGTATGACGGTGTGGTGGGTGTGGTGGGTGTGGCCGGTGTGTTGGGTGTGGTGGGTGTGGTGGGTGTGTTGGGTGTGGCCGGTGTGGCCGGTGTGGCCGGTGTGGTGGGTGTGGCCGGTGTGGCCGGTGTGGTGGGTGTGGCCGGTGTGGTGGGTGTGGTGGGTGTGGTGGGTGTGGCCGGTGTGGCCGGTGTGGCCGGTGTGGTGGGTGTGGCCGGTGTGGCCGGTGTGGTGGGTGTGGCCGGTGTGGCCGGTGTGGTGGGTGTGGTGGGTGTGGCCGGTGTGGCCGGAGTGGTGGGTGTGGCCGGTGTGGCCGGTGTGGTGTATGTGGTTGGTGTGGCCGGTGTGGCCGTTGTGGTGGGTGTGGCCGGTGTGGCCGGTGTGGTCGGTGTGGCCGGTGTGGCCGGTGTGGTGGGACAGTGTGGACAGTGCGGACAGTGTGGACAGCGCGCACAGTGCGGACAGTGCGGACAGTGCGGACAGTGTGGACAGTGCGGACAGTGCGGACAGTGTGGACAGTGCGGACAGTGCGGACAGTGCGGACAGTGTGGACAGTGCGGACAGTGTGGACAGTGCGGACAGTGCGGACAGTGTGGACAGTGCGGACAATGTGGACAGTGCGGACAGTGCGGACAGTGTGGACAGTGCGTTCTTGGGGTGATGAATCGCAATATTGAATTATTTCTTAAAATGAAAAACACTGTCACATTTACATATATATATATTGCAACCATGACAGTACAACCTCAGTAAAGTAAGAAGATAGCATACCACACCCACGGGAGATGCGACTTCAAGCGCCATGTCATCCCTACTAGTGATGCTAGATTGGATGACGTGCGCTGCAATCGGCTCGCTTGTTACGACAGTGATAAAACAGTAACAAATCGCGTTATACTTTCAGAAACCCTGTTTTATGTTCCATTATCAAGGGAGTTGACAGACTGTACTCTCAATATCAACAGTTTGAAAAATTGTTTCTATTCTCAAGAGTGTCAGAAATATTATTATACTCTTTAACTTCTGAGTTATGGACGACTGAATAATGCAAAGTAATCCTCCATTGTAAGTGCGAAAGGGACAGGGCTCTTGCTATGAACAGACATCTAGAAAAAGAGCCATTTTCCATCACATCTTTTAAGGGTATGACCTGTTTGTATGCGTGCGCGCGTGTGTGTGCGCATGCGTGTCCGTGTGCGTGTGTTTGTGTGTGTGTTGTGTTTGTTTGTCATCTGCTTAACGCCGCACTCCGAAATATTCCAGCAACACGATGATTTACACTGTAGGGTTATTTTGCCACGCAATTAAGTAAATCACCATGTCTGACTGCCCCATCCATTAAGTCACTATGCCTGACTGCCCCATCCATTAAGTCACCATGCCTGGCTGCCCCATCCATTAAGTCACCATGCCTGACTGCCCGATCCATTAAGTCACCATGCCTGACTGCCCCATCCATTAAGTCACCATGCCTGACTGCCCCATCCATTAAGTCACCATGCCTGACTGCCCCATCCATTAAGTCACTATGCCTGACTGCCCCATCCATTAAGTCACCATGCCTGGCTGCCCCATCCATTAAGTCACCATGCCTGACTGCCCGATCCATTAAGTCACCATGCCTGACTGCCCGATCCATTAAGTCACCATGCCTGACTGCCCGATCCATTAAGTCACCATGCCTGACTGCCCCATCTATGAAGCCACCATGCCTGACTGCCCCATCCATTAAGTCACCATGCCTGACCGCCCCATCTATGAAGCCACCATGCCTGACTGCCACATCCATGAAGTCACTATGCCTGACTGCCCCATCCATTAAGTCACCATGCCTGACTGCCCCATCCATTAAGTCACCATGCCTGACCGCCCCATCTATGAAGCCACCATGCCTGACTGCCACATCCATGAAGTCACTATGCCTGACTGCCCCATCCATTAAGTCACCATGCCTGACTACCCCATCCATTAAGTCACCATGCCTGACTACCCCATCCATTAAGTCACCATGCCTGACTACCCCATCCATTAAGTCACCATGCCTGACTGCCCCATCCATTAAGTCACCATGCCTGACTACCCCATCCATTAAGTCACCTTGCCTGACTGCCCCATCCATTAAGTCACCATGCCTGACTACCACATCACTTAAGTCACCATGCCTGACTGCCCCATTCATTAAGTCACCATGCCTGACTGCCCCATCCATTAAGTCACCATGCCTGACCGCCCCATCCATTAAGTCACCATGCCTGACTACCCAATCCATTAAGTCACCATGCCTGACTACCCCATCCATTAAGTCACCATGCCTGACTGCCCCATCCATTAAGTCACCATGCCTGACTGCCCCATCCATTAAGTCACCATGCCTGACTGCCCCATCCATTAAGTCACCATGCCTGACTGCCCCATCCATTAAGTCACCATGCCTGACTGCCCCATCCATTAAGTCACCATGCCTGACTACCACATCACTTAAGTCACCATGCCTGACTGCCCCATTCATTAAGTCACCATGCCTGACTGCCCCATCCATTAAGTCACCATGCCTGACCGCCCCATCCATTAAGTCACCATGCCTGACCGCCCCATCCATTAAGTCACCATGCCTGACTACCCCATCCATTAAGTCACCATGCCTGACTACCCCATCCATTAAGTCACCATGCCTGACTACCTAATCCATTAAATCACCATGCCTGACTACCCCATCCATGAATTCACCATGCCTGACTGCCCCATCCATTAAGTCACCATGCCTGACTACCCCATCACTTAAGTCACTATGCCTGACTGCCCCATCCATTAAGTCACCATGCCTGACTGCCCCATCCATTAAGTCACCATGCCTGACTACCCCATCACTTAAGTCACTATGCCTGACTGCCCCATTCATTAAGTCACCATGCCTGACTACACCATTTATTAAGTCACCATGTCTGACTACCCAGTCACTTAAGTCTCTATGCCTGTCTGCCCGATCCATTAAATCAAGTATGTCGTCCGTTATCAGTTCCAAGCGAAAGCCAGTTATATTTGTCAAGCGGTTTCAGGGTTTTGGACAATGAAAAGAGTTATCTGGCCTGAGAGGGCATTCTGTCTCAGATACTTCCATTTTTAACAATGCCCGAGTTTCGTTGCACGACTGTTTTCGAAGACGAACAAGAACGCATTTGTGTTCACAATTTCATACTATCTTAAACCTAAATAATCTAAACACGCACAACATGATGGTAAACGTCATCATGAACCTTTGATACCCGTTACCTGATTATTATAACACGGATACACAATCTGTATCAGTGACACACAGGTCACAGGCTGGCATTGTGGAGGACCAGGAACACTCACCTTCTACTCGGTGTGGTGTCCCTAACTCCTTCAGAGCTGTCGGTAATGTTCCTCACTTCCTTCAGAGCTGTCGGTAATGTTCACCCACTTCCTTCAGAGCTCGACAATGTTCCTCACTTCCTTCAGAGCTCGACAATGTTCCTCACTTCCTTCAGAGCTCGACAATGTTCCCCACTTCCTTCAGAGCTCGACAAAGTTCCTCACTTCCCTCAGAGCTCGACAATGTTCCTCACTTCCTTCAGAGCTCGACAATGTTCCTAACTTCCTTCAGAGCTCGACAATGTTCCTCACTGCTGGCTGGTTGATCTGTAAAGTCCTCCACTTCCTTCCAGGCTGTCAACCAGTCACGTGAACTCCCTGTTGCAGCAGCATACGGTGTTCACACACACAACACGGCGCTTCCCTTTTATACGCGGCGTTTCCCGTCGCCGGCCGTTGTGTGTGTGGCAACCCCAGAGAGTTGGCCGGTCCGTCAGCGAGCACGGTTGTGAATTCAAGCACACGCAGGGTCCTGTATTTACCACAAACTTGTTTCTTGAACGTGAATACTATTCCATGTCAGGGAAACACTGGGAACATAGGTTTATAAGACACACAGAGTGGAATGAGAGTGACATTCACGTGAAGGCAGCACGTTGTGACGAGTACACTGTGTACAGCTAGCGTCATTATCGCAACTAGTCAGTGGAAAAAAGGTGCGTTTGTTTGTTGTTTAACACCGCTCACAGCAAAAGTCTTGATATATGAGACGTTATGTAAATGTCTGGACCAGACAGTCCAGAGACTGACATTATGAGCAAATGTGTAGGACAATTTCTAAAGGTCGTGTGAGGCAGGTATTAACATTGCTTGTCTGAAAGGTATCCCTAGGTCGCGCGGGATAATTATTAATAGGTCGTGTGAGACAGGTATTAACATTTGTCTGAAAGGTATCCCAAGGTCGCGCGGGATAATTATAAATAGGTCGTGTGAGACAGGTATTAACATTTGTCTGAAAGGTATCCCAAGGTCGCACGGGATAATTATTAATAGGTCGTGTGAGACAGGTATTAACATTGCTTGTCTGAAAGGTATCCCAAGGTCGCGCGGGATAATTATTAATAGGTCGTGTGAGACAGGTATTAACATTGCTTGTCTGAAAGGTATCCCAAGGTCGCGCGGGATAATTATTAATAGGTCGTGTGAGGCAGGTATTAACATTGCTTGTCTGAAAGGTATCCCCAGGTCGCGTGGGATAATTATTAATAGGTCGTGTGAGACAGGTATTAACATTTGTCTGAAAGGTATCCCAAGGTCGCGCGGGATAATTATTAATAGGTCGTGTGAGACAGGTATTAACATTTGTCTGAAAGGTATTCCCAGGTCGCTTGGGATAATTATTAATAGGTCGTGTGAGGCAGGTATTAACATTGCTTGTCTGAAAGGTATCCCCAGGTCGCGTGGGGTAATTATTAATAGGTCGTGTGAGACAGGTATTAACATTGCTTGTCTGAAAGGTATCCCTAGGTCGCGCGGGATAATTATTAATAGGTCGTGTGAGACAGGTATTAACATTTGTCTGAAAGGTATCCCCAGGTCGCTTGGGATAATTATTAATAAGTCGTGTGAGGCAGGTATTAACATTGCTTGTCTGAAAGGTATCCCAAGGTCGCGCGGGATAATTATTAATAGGTCGTGTGAGGCAGGTATTAACATTGCTTGTCTGAAGGGTATCCCTAGGTCGCGCGGGATAATTATTAATAGGTCGTGTGAGACAGGTATTAACGGTTGTAGTGAACCTTAGAGGACCCAAGTATATATTATCGCTACACGCATCAGGGGGCGTTAAACCCGAATAACTCACTCACTCATATATAGTTGGACATTTTCACATTGACATGTTCACCCGTGAAGATCGGGGGAAGAATATGTCTTCAGCAACCCATGCTTGCCATAAAAAGGCAGCTATGCTTGTCGTAAGAGGCGACTAACAGGATCGGGTGGTCAGGTTCGCTGACTTGGTTGATGCATATCATCGATCCCAATTGCGTGGATCGATGCTCATGATATCAATCACTGGATTGTCTGGTCCAGGCTCGATTATTTACAGACCGCTGGATAGCTGGGATATCGCTAAGTGTGGCGTTAAACAACAAACAAACAAACCTTGACATGTCATGAAAGTCATTAGTTACATCAAGACGGAAGAGGCAGAGATATTGGCGACTTTTCTGGTATATGTACTACGTGCTTGCCAACTGCCTGTGTCTGTACAATGTAATTATGCAGCAGAGTGATACATCATTTATGCGTGAGACATAATGGCCGCTGGACGAGACGCAGGGTAAAATAAATTTGCTGGCATAGCAAGTATGTCCTGTACACCACAAGGTCAAGGACGATCATTGCCGATGCATTACAGATCTGGAGGATATTTTATGTGAAGGGTGAAATATCATATTTCTCTCATCAAGTGACGGGGAAAAGGAGATATTTTAACGAGTGTAATGAATAGGATATTCCAGGTGTCTCGTGAAATATCATGTTTCTCTCATTACGATCATCGAGAGAAAATATCTCTTTTCCCCTGTCACGGGTAAAAATATCTCTTCTCCCCCATCACGAGATGCGAGATATTTCCCAAGACACTCGGAACATCCTATTGATTATATTCTTTTTGTGTATTTGTCAACAGGAAAATAAATCATTACAAAGTAAAACTTGAAACGTACATTCTCCCCACCTAACACGCAGGGACGTTTCACCACCCCTTGTAATTGCGACTTAAAAAGTAGTTCCGAGTTGCAAAATCTTAAACAAATAGATAAACAAAAGTAATAAAAAATATTTGAGGTTACTAAAATTCTTTATCATACATTAGGATATGATTATATACAAAATCAACTTATAAAAGCATCACTGAAAGCTACGAGACTGCTGTTGGAAGCGAAGGCATTTTGTTTCCTCTTTTCATTCACATTGAGTGTAATTCAATCCCCGATATCAAACTCCTCTGCGTCAGAATATACACTATTTGGGCCAGGTGGTAATCAGACAACACTATATACAGGTTGCCCATCAGCTCTCCCTCTTTTCAGGTAGGTCGACGGGTCCAGATTTATTCTAGCTGGTTGCGCAGGATTCCTGCTACCATCTGATTGAAGCCAAGAATATCTCCAAGTTGTCCAGGCCCAAGCGGGACTGGCGCTGGTAACAACAATGGCGATTTGTGAAATGAACAGTCTCGATTGACGAGTTAAATGAGAAATTGACGGTTTATAACGAAACATTTTCGAGAGAATAACAAACGACAAGAAGCGATATTAGCTCCAAAAACTCTGCCCAGTGTGCACATATTACTCTTCAGTTATTCTAGGCATTTGATTGGCCTGATCTTTACGGGACTACTTGCCTAACATTCATTCGTTCATATTTCGATCACACGGACAAACAGCATCCAAACAGAGTGCAACAAACTCAAGTAATCTTAGCTTGTATTTTATCATCAAATGCTGAAACACTTCAGCAGGAAAACAATATCGTATTTAAATATGCATCTGCAGCTGAGTGTCGCCAGGTCACGTGGTTCCGGATGACGCCACACAGTAGGACTGTTTCCCCGCAACTGAAATAATACAAAGTAGACACAGTTTATGGATGACAACTTCTTAATTTACTGTAAACTCAGTAAATAAGGAAGTTGTTCTCCACAAATTGTGTCTACTTTGTCATCCGTCAACTTCTATTTAATGACTATAAAACAAAGGACATAATACAAACTACAAATCACAAAATGGCAAAGTTAGAAACCTAATGTTTCCCCGGACATTCGGAAGAGCACCGGCGAGTAACACGTGGTGTTTGACGGACTTACTTTTATATAGCCGTTTTGACGATCACCCCTTCTGTCCACTCGCTCCCGAACTCCGAGTTTAGTGAAGGTTTCGCGTGGTTGTGAATGATTTTAATGAGTGAGTGTATTGGGTTTGAAGCCGCTTTTAACAGTATTCCAGGTATATAACGGCGTGTCAGCTTACTGTGGGAGGAAAGCCCGAAGTGATGCAGGTTTACCACTTCGATGAAACCCACGAGCACGAGTATGGTGCTGACAAACCTAGTAACATAGGAATGGCACACACTTGAAACATGTCTCACGGTAGACATGTGTAGTGGCACACACTTGAAACATGTCTCACTGTAGATATGTGTAGTGGGACACACTTGAAACATGTCTCACGGTAGACATGTGTAGTGGCACACACTTGAAACATGTCTCACGGTAGACATGTGTAGTGGGACACACTTGAAACATGTCTGACTGTAGACACGTGTAGTGGCACACACTTGAAACATGTACCCAAGTAGACATGTGTAGTGGCATACACTTGAAACATGTCCCACAGTAGATATGTGTAGTGGCACACTTGAAACATGTACCCCAGTAGATATGTGTAGTGGCACACACTTGAAACATGTCTCACAGTAGATATGTGTAGTGGGACACACTTGAAACATGTACCCAAGTAGATATGTGTAGTGGCACACACTTGAAACATGTCCCACAATAGATATGTGTAGTGGCATACACTTGAAACATGTACCCAAGTAGACATGTGTAGTGGGACACACTTGAAACATGTCCCACAATAGATATGTGTAGTGGCACACACTTGAAACATGTACCCAAGTAGACATGTGTAGTGGGACACACTTGAAACATGTCTCACTGTAGATATGTGTAGTGGCATACACTTGAAACATGTACCCAAGTAGATATGTGTAGTGGCACACACTTGAAACATGTCTCACTGTAGATATGTGTAGTGGCACACACTTGAAACATGTACCCCAGTAGATAGGTGTAGTGGCACACACTTGAAACATGTCTCACAGTAGATATGTGTAGTGGCACACACTTGAAACATCTACCCCAGTAGACATGTGTAGTGACATACACTTGAAACATGTCCCACAGTAGATATGTGTAGTGGCACACACTTGAAATATGTCTCACAGTAGACATGTGTAGTGGCAGACACTTGAAACATGTCTCACAGTAGATATGTGTAGCGGGACACACTTGAAACATGTACCCCAGTAGATATGTGTAGTGGCACACACTTGAAACATGTCCCACAATATATATGTGTACTGGCACACACTTGAAATATGTCTCACAGTAGATATGTGTAGTGACACACACTTGAAACATGTCTCACAGTAGATATGTGTAGTGGCACACACTTGAAACACGTACCCAAGTAGATATGTGTAGTGACACACACTTGAAACATGTCTCACTGTAGATATGTGTACTGGCACACACTTGAAATATGTCTCATGGTAGATATGTGTAGTGCCACACACTTGAAACATGTCTCCCAGTAGATACGTGTAGTGGCATACACTTGAAACATGTCTCATGGTAGATATGTGTAGTGGCATACACTTGAAACATGTACCCCAGTAGACATGTGTAGTGGCACACACTTGAAACATATCTCATGGTAGATATGTGTGGTGCCACACACTTGAAACATGTCTCACTGTAGATATGTGTAGTGCCACACACTTGAAACATGTACCCAAGTAGATACGTGTAGTGGCACACACTTGAAACATGTCTCATGGTAGATATG